ATTAGCTAAGGAAATAAACTCCCTGAATCTTGGCCAAACGCGCTGATTTAATCCAGCAGAGCCAAAAACACCCACCCGATGACACTGAATATGCAATTAGATGGATATTACAGAACATGTTTCACTTGTTGACCCTCTCTGTCATATGAAGGCTCAAGGAAGTGTCTTGTCTCTTTATCTAAATATACACTCTTGACTCTTGGCTGAATGAAGCCCATTGCCTACTGCAAATAAAATCCCTATCTTCACGCTCTCCCATCCCCAACATGAAGACCTATCAGGAATCCTGCATGGGTGGACATGTAGGCTTTCCTAGGAATGACAGGGTCTGCTAAAGAGGAACCCCACCCTCGCTTTCTCCGGCATGCCAACACAGAGGAGAGTGGGCAGCGCTGAGACGGCAGCCTGCCGTGGGCACTGCCAGGCTTAAAGCTGCCCTGTCGTCATCAGAGGCTTGCAGAAAAGAACGCTGAGATTCACCAAAAAAAAAAGAGGAGGGGGATCGTTGCATTTAAATCCTCTCTCAACGCCCCCACATGTTTTAGCAAAGCATAAAAATCATTCACAGAGAGAGAGAAAGCGAAAAAGAAAAAGATAGAGGGAAATAGAGAGGAAACAGCTATTAGCAGCAGTAAGCAAGCTCAAGAGATCATAGTGAGGCAGCTCTAATCGCAGTAATGGTTTAAACCCTCATTCCATCCACCAGATGCAAGAAATGTCTACCCAAAAACAAGGCTTTGAAATCCCCCATGTCTAAGAATGTGCCCTGTGGCTATGGTCCTTACTGAAAAAAAAAATGAAAACAACAACTCCAAAACTGTCTCCACTTTTGGAATAACTACGAGGTAAAGATAGCTCCTGTGGCCTGTGTTGTTTACACCGACTACATCCAGGAAACATGCTTGTATCAAAATAAACACTCGTTATTATTTGAAATTATATGCAGCGTACATAAATGTCAAACATTAGAATACTGTCATGGGTGCACATGAGACCCAACTCTCTGCCCTCTGAAATAAAGAAGTTACTTAGTTAATTTTGAAACATCACTTTTCGTGGAGGTGGCCTAATTTGGTTAAATGTTGCACTAATGTCCAGGGAAATGTATCAGGGATAAATGCAAGCACTAGTAATAAATATATATCTCAAAATAACTGCATAGACAAGTTACACTTATTACTAAACTAAAATAAATGTAATCCAGTTGTTTTAGAAAGTACATTAAAGTTCAATTAAACTCAAAGTTTCATGATAGCTTAAGAAAACTCTCAAACATCATTTGTTTGTGCCAAAAGTACACCTGGATGAGTTGCGATGCAGCAAAATATATACACAGCTTTTTAATCCTTTCTAGTTCAGAGGTCTTCGGTTATTTTTGGAGTCTTCTTAATTTTCACTATTGTTTTATTCTTCTCTGCAGGCAAAGCTTTATCTGACAGGTTTTCTGTCCTTTGGCCAATTTTGCTGGTTTTCCAAAGAGCCTCTATCAACATAAAAAAAATTAAATAAAAATACCCAAGTAGCTTTTTCTTTCTGTGAAAGAAATTTCCTAAAAGCATTTTGGCATTTACAGCAGATATTAATGTTGAACTGAGACACTAAGAGTCAAGATTTTAAACCAGAAAAGGTGTTGACATTTCTAAACTACTTTCAGCATAATTAATCTGCATCTTTATTAAACAATTAATAATCAACAGTAATGTGCAGTCTAACATAAGAAAATATCTTTTGTACAGGTATCAGGATTTAACCAAAAGGGAATTTTGATGATGACCTCTGATACCCAGTTTATAACGTGATGTTAACACTTGGTTTCTAAGTAAAGATATCTGTATCTTGTGAATCTTCCAATTACAGCATTGGCTCCTCATCTCTGTGAGTGTCTCCAAAGGCACTCTATACAGCAAAGTCTCAGTGGATCCAATAAAAGAGTTGGTTTGGAAAACCAGGAACAATGGATGACAGCACTGCATTGGCTCTCGTGTTATAGCTGGTGAGTGTGCCATTGACGAGGGTCAGAGCTACTTTCCTAATCTAAGTGTCACTCCCAGAGGTCACTGGGATCTTGCTGTGTCAGCAGTCATATATGACAATTTTTCAGAAGTTTGGTTTACACAAACAGGCCACTTCTCAATTAGCATATTGTCTTTTGTCTGTCATTTGGAATGTTTTAACAGTTATTCTTCAATATTTACACTGACGTTAACAGATACTTCTGGTTCAGAAAATGCATCAGGGTGCAAGACTGAAACAACATGCAACGTTTTTTCAACTCGAGTATTTCCCTTTATTTCTACAGACACTAATCGTGAGGTTACTGTGCTAGGTAATTTTGGATATAACTGTAGTCAAGAAAAGCTATATGTCCCATTTTGACAAATGATGGTAATAATTTGTAGCTCTTCAATTGATGCTTCAGATATTTACTGGTATTTAACATTTAATGTAACTATATTCTTTATATTACTATATTGAGTAATTGAAAACATCTGACAGGAAATGAAGCAGACAACAGTTTCATTTTCTACTGTTGTTCAGAGGTTAATTTTTTCATAAACAAAGAGAAAGTAAGTCTGTGTCTTTTAAAACTTCATGACGACCTTTAGCAATCTGCACTTCACACTTATTACAATCATTTCTGAACATGTTTCCTTGAAGGAATATGGTCAGGTTTATTAAATTTCCATTCCTTATTATCACATCTTTATTTGTGAGACTAACCAAGTCATGTTGTTATAGTTAAGTCCCATTAGCCAATACATATCCCACTTGTTTCAAACTGTAGATGCTTTTGAGGCTTTTGAGTGTAATTAGGATTTCTAAAAATGCTTCATCAACACACATGCCAGGTTTTGCTAACACATAAGTTCAAGTGGTGAATCGTTACTCTGAAGTTTGAACATAGAAATCTGCAGTTTCTGTGGCCCTTTGCTTTTGTTTTTGGTTATGAGCACCTATTTAGAGGCGGGTGTATGGGACTTCTGCCCATTGCGCTCCATTACAATTACTCAGCAGGCATGCATCCCGTCCCAGTAATGAAGTGGGTGTTACTGTGGGTGGATTTGAGCATGAGCGGCCACTATTCTGTATTCCTACTACTGGGTACAAGGGCTGAGTGGCAGAGAATAGCAGCAGCGCTGGCAGCATGGCACAGTGACAGAAAGCGTGGTGGACCAGCAGACCAACCACAGAACCACAGGCAACAATCTGATCCTTCAATAGTGCGTGTTTACTTAAGTGTCAGGAGAAATGGAGAATTACATTTCAAAGCCCAGTAAATAAAGTTTGTATTGATTTAATCCAACATGTAATCTGTCTTGCTGTCTGACACTGATTCTGGCAATAAAAGAGAATCATGTAAGACAGCATTATAGATAATACGACCATAGATCAAATGGAGTTTGGGCAAGAGAAGGGCAATAGATCATGTTCAAGCTAGACTGCTTAGCTCTGGAATTCATAAACTACCTCCTAAATCGAGGTGGCGTTCAATTTAAGTTTTCAATTTACAGATATAGGATTTGGTGTGCGCTTGATGTAATTTCATTGTCAACTTCAGCAGGGGTTCTGTGGATTGGAAACTGTATCTCTCTCAATTTGTCGCTCAAAAGAAGAATACACAAACTATAAATAAATGAATACTACACAGATCATCTGAATGAATCATTGTGATCATCTGGCAAGTACTTTAAGGAGAATGCTATATGTCATTTAAGCATTTAATGTCCACCCTTTTTCCAAACTTGATTTTCTTCTCAGTTTAGGTACAGAATGTTACTTAAGGGCTGTAATGTTAATGCAGTTCTCTTACTAAAAGTATTTCATTTCTTTTATCATTAGCACTGCATTTATTTTTATCTTTTGAATCATATTTAACACAAGCATAGTATGAATATATCAAATATTGTAAGTACGTTTTATTGCATTGCTTTCAATTACAACCTAATCCTTTAAATCAACTACAATTAGTGATCTATTTCAGTTTTAGGGTCACAGTTTGAGTTTTACGTAAACATTTTTTAATAAGTGGTAACATGTTTTACCACTAAAGAATACTGGTTCATACACTGATCCTCTAAAGCATGCACTGCTTTGTGTGCTGTCCACTGAAATTCACTTTAATAACTGTAATGACACCTAACTGAGGATGGAGATTTTTTGTTTGTTGCTTCACTGGTGTGAAACAGAGATTAGAGAATTTTCCAGTCAAAATCGCTGACTGAATTAAGAACATCAATGACAGTATTATCTACCTTACAGTTTACGTTATCTGACATTCTGAATAGTGTAAACTGTAGATAGGACATTACCTCGGCTTAACACAATTGTTCACTGAAGGGCTTAAGAGTGTGATGTGCTAGCACCACTCTCTGGTGACAAAGATTACTGTAGTGCATCAGTAATAATGAACAGGTAATGTAGATAACAGAAGCTCAAAACTGGAGAACAGCCTGAAATTTTAAATATAACTGAAATGTTATTTCATGCTTTTAAAACTTTTTCAACTTTTTAAAACTGTTGTGAAGTTTTGTTTCTTGTGACAGTGAATTAAGGTGAGGTAGAGATGCAGCTTGTCTTATCCATTACTGCACTCTAGTGTTATAAATAAGCATGTGCATGTTTGCCAAATAACACTGACTACACCAGTGAATCTCAAACTTTTTTGTGTCAAGACCCCAAAATTGATACACATTGAATATGTATATACATATTGATTACATAATTGTCTATACTTTAAATTGTGACAGTGAATTAAAGCCTGTTCCAATGAGATTGCTGGTAAAGAGAGTGAAACATATGAACTGAATAGTCATTCTTATACATTCTCTTCTTGGGCTAACTTTTAGCTACTGAAATAATAGTGAAAAAAAAAAGTTCTGTGACAGAAAAAGTTGGCAGAATTCCCTTATTTAATAATCCGCAGTGGATTATTAAATACAGGTATATTAGAACTATTGGATTACTTGTACACCCCAGAACAACAAATACCAGAAACTTACCTTGCGTGCTCCAGTGAAGTAAATCTGAGGGGCTTTCCAAACTGTGCTGACCTTTTCTCTGAATTCCCGGTCTTTTGGAATTATGAGGCATTTGTCGATGTCCAGTTCTGGATAGATCACATGTAGTCCACCCCTTTATTAAAGAAAGATAAAAGAAGCTCACTCTAAACCATTTTGTATTACATTCTGCATTAAGGGGAAAGACAATATGCTCGCATCCTGAGATAAACATAGCCAACTTATATAAAAAGGTTACAATACCAACATGAGCAAAAAGGGCAACGCAGAGAGAAAATGAAGCTTCCGTTCAGATTCGTTTTTCTTTTCCGTGTTTATTTTGGTTTTTATGGGAATACTTACTGACAGAAAGAAGAATCCGCAGAGCTCAGGGTGTCTGGTGTTGCTTCCACATGGTAAAGCCCCAAAACACAAGCACATAACACCAGAAATGGTACTGTGGCCTGCGGACAGCAGTGTTCTGTTAGTCAAGGAGTCAAGTGTATTTGTATATTTTCAACACCTCATTAATCTGTCAAGCAGTATAGCTTTTAAAGAGTAAAGAAAAACTGCATTTGCCTGTGGTGGAAAGTAACTGAAGTGCTTCTTGCTTTTACAGTTTTAATATAGGCTTGCAACTGGTCTATAAAATGTCAAAATAGTTTAAAAACGCCATATGCAAGTTCTCAGAGCAAAAGATGATTTGTTTAAAATGTTGTTTACTTTTTTTTAGAAAGGAGAGAAAAAGAAAAGTCTCAACACTGAATGAAGAAAAGCAGGAAACCTTAACATTCCAGAAACTGGAAGTTTAAGCCATTTTTCCTTGAGCATTTTCTCAAGAGGTCTGATAGGACAATGTAAATGTGACTGCTATAAACTATTTCACCTGCCCCCATCTACACCTGTTGGACTACTAGTCTGACTGACACATCAGCAGGATGTGCAGGAAGCTTGTTTACTTAAACTTAAGCTTAAAATCACCGGTCTTGATTCTCGTTACAGTCAATGTTATTGTTAAATTGCAACATTTAAATGTTTGGGAAGCGTCTGCTTCAACTAGCGAGTGGCACAATGTAGCAACATGTATCCTGTGCTGCTAACGCGTTACTATATTTAAACTTAATAGCTAGATTTGGCTACATCCTGCCACAACAGGAAGAACAGTGTCATTAATGTCAGGTACTTATTTGTTGATAACGAGCTCGTATATATATTTAAAAAATATTATTTAACTTTTTTTTAAGTGATTTAAGAGTCACATTAGCTCAAAATTAGCCTTCACCTGTTTTAGCTTGTTTATATTTATGCAGTGTGTCACATGTCGACACTGACGGTGCAGTTTATCAAGTGCTCGTTGCGGCCGAGAACAGACATTAAATATCACTGAATGCAAACTACAGTCTTCGTAGGGCAGCTACATTCATTGTCTGATTAACATTACCATCTCTGAAGTCGTCCACTTGTGTTTTTGTTGCGGGTTTCTTCTCTCCTCTTCTGGTTGCAGGTCTCACTTGTGGCTGCCGCCTCTGCGCAGTGTACGATCCTGCTGACCTATGAGGCTGCAAAAGTTTCATATGACATAACTGAAAAAAAAAAAACACTGGCGCCATAGCCAAACTGCACGTTTCTCCTTTTTTTATTTAGTAAATATTATTTACACATTTTCAATAACACATGCTACAGAATTTAAGATTTACAGCTCTCAAACAATAAAAACAGCATTTGAGAACAAAAGTACCTGATGACTAAGGAAAAGTCATCCAGGCTTTGAACACTGAGAAAACATTCAAGTTTTTTTCTTTTAATTTATTTATTTTATATATATATATTTAATTTTCAACCATTTCTGAACAAGGCCTCTTAAACTATGCAGTAGTGATTGTGCAGCATATAGAATATATTCCTGGTGCTGCTAAAGCTCCCTTTGGTTTGTGCTTCTCTGCAGCCGTGATATTAGCACCCAAACATATGGAAAAGGGCCCCAGTGACAACTTCTTTGTAATTTAAGATCTAATCTTTTTTTATTTTTTATTTTTTTTTTTACCTGATGTTGTCTACATATCTAATGGTGTTGCTATACTCTCTAATGCAATTTGAATAGAACCTGGTGCTACAAAGCAGTGCAAGTTTGTAGTTTCAAAGTCAGACATTTCTGTATGCATAGTACAAAAACAGTATCTATGTTAAACTATGCAATAGCTTGTATCAATCGCTATGCCAAGTTTGAATTGCAAGTCATCACACAATTATTATTTACACGTTTGAGTTACACTCTAACTTCTAATGGCCTTAATGTCTCAGCATTTCTTAATAATGCAGACTCCAAAATTGGAGCTCATTAGCATAAAGCAACTTTAAAATATTTAAACAAATTTGAAATCCCTGCATTAATTTAATAGTTAATGTCACAAATTGATGGTTTGTCATTATGTTAGTCTTGTGTGGCCTTAATGGACATAGTCTTTCATTAGTTTTGTGTTTATGGCTCTAAAAGAACATCAACCCTACTCAGTGTCGAACTCCCCGAATCATACATTGATTGCTTTACATCTACATGATGGATTATGTACATTTACAAATACACACACAACCTAGAGAGCACCATGGTAACTGAACAAATAGCAAACAAACTAGTAACCACAGTAACACTACTTTACATTCGATACCATACACTTCACTGTACATTAAGGCATGAGGTGTTGTTGATGCAAAACATCAGCAGAAGATTCATTGATAAATGCAATGCACTGAGGAATGAAATGCATGTCTATGAAATTTATCAATCACACCACCAAGGCAAATCATAACAATATAGACCCTCCTGCTGTTAAAGTATCAGAATAAACTATTTTGTGTAAAAACTGGACATTATTTATTAGTCAGATGATCTAATAAATTAAAACATTCAGAATTAGGATAAAGATGACTCTAAAAGAGTACAGTCCCATCCCCTGGTGTCTGACCATATTCAAAATGACAGTTCTTATTAGCAATAGACAAAAATTAATGTAATTGACAACAATTTAAAGCTACTGCTTAGAGCACCAGCACCACTACTAATCTATATCTTACACTTTAAATGACAATGAATGAACTTCATCTATTTTGGCGAGCCCTGTTCATGCAGTCTAGTTATTAAGTCAGGAGTTAATATTAGCAAGAAATTGGTTTCGTCACTGAATTGATTCATACCACTTAATTTGTTTTTAGCTCTTTTTTGGGCTCTAAAAATCTGTCAAGTCAAAAAAACGTATGGAAAAGTATAACCCAATCATATGCAGAATTAAAGCAAGCCTTTCGTTAACATATGCTGCAAAAGCAAACACTGCAATCAGAATTTACTTTTTTCATAACAATGGTGTGTGTTTTTTTTTTTGTTTGATGTACCATATGTGTTTATAATGTCCTTTATATAAACATGTGTCTACTTCACTTTGCACTGTAATCCTATTTTACTATTAGTCAATTGTTCATTTGAACTGCCTGTAATTTGCATGTATACTACAGTATATAATAGATGTAACTGGAGGTCAGCACAATGAGTATTCAGTTATTTTCAACAACAGTTTGTAGCTGCACAGTAACTAAATGCAAGTTGGATAAGTCAAGTCTATATTCAGTATATGTATTACTCAGTAATACTGTACGATTCTGCTCACTGCCTGCAGTGCACTATATTAGTTAGAGTGATGCAAGTTACTTGCAGTTCATCTGATATTCTGTACAATTTACAATACTACCCATCTTCACTGAGCACCATGCTTACAAGTCCATCCTATAATCAAGTACAACAGTAGATGACAATCTTGAACATATACTGTGAGGTGTGCAAAACAAATCATGAAAAATGATTTGATCTTAACCTCTTCACAACTTTTTTTTTTTTTTTTAAACATTTTAAATATTATAATCTTATATCCCCAGTTTCTTTCTTTACATTTACCGCAGCGTGTCATGAGACCATACTGTCTATAGTGCCGTTACCAGGATGCTGCTACTGGAGGTTCTTGTGTGTCTCTCTGTGGAGAAGAGTCCAGAAAGTGCTCGAGGTGTAGAAGAGTATGGATGACTTCTCCTAGGCGTGAGGAAGCCTCCTGCATGTACAAGTGTTACAAAGCCAACTACAAGATGAATCTCTAAAGGCTAAATCACCACCAGTGACAGATGCGTCCAACACACCGTCAGAGAGGGATGGTCATGTACATGTGGTCACTTTAGCTCCTGAAATGTTGCTATTGGCTCTGAGATACATCCTGTGTTGCTTTCCAGGATGACAGTGATCAAGCTGATGGAACCATTCAATGAACAACTTAAGGAATCAGGAAACATGTGTGCTAACAAGCCTCATCAAGCAACACATACTGTAGGAAATAATAGTGATCTGTTTTGTTTTTGCTGGCATTTTACAGAAAATACAGATATTTTCCTTAATTTGGGATCTCTTGTGTCTCAGGACACTGAATGCATTCATGTAAACTAAAGCCCTTTTGTGACGAGAGGCCACAAATCACACGATCACAATATGTAAATGCTGAGTGTGTCCAGACTCACATCACGTTTAGGTGTGCAAGCCGTTCACAAACATTCAAATATAGAATGACGGAACAAAAATTAACAGAAGTGGAACTTTCCAGTATTTTCATGTATGCATACATGATCATAATCAGCATGGTTAAGCGTGACTTCGGTAACTGATTCCTGGCAGGCTATATCATTGTTACATCCTGTTGATGAGATCATACTGTACACATGGTTTGGTAGATTGTACAAACACTTAAGGGCAAAGTGTCATATCTCTGAGACTGAGAAGTTCTGTGTTGAATTGCTGGTTGTTGCAGCTGATAAGCAGCACTTGGTTATTAGTTCAGGTTAATTGATGATAATTATGATCATAGGTGGAAAGTTCTGTGCCAGCATAGTCCTATTTCTAAAACATAAAACTCAGGTAGTGGAACATACAACAATCAATATGAGTTGTTATTTGCGCCAGTTACACTGTGCCATTTGTCAGTGAGGTTCATATCACGGAGGTTTGAGTCTCATGTACACCAAGCTAAAAATCTAAGGAACAAAACCCATTACTTTAACTGCCAGTTTGAGCTGAGCTTGCAAACCTGGAGGAGTGCCGTTTGACTGCAGAGGCAAACAAACAGGAGGAGAAACTGTGTGCCTGAATAATTGGGGCGTGCCTAGCCAGCAGTGCTTATCTTCTATTGTATCTTTCACAACTCGCATCCACACTGATGTACTTCAGAGTGGACCTGGTCTTACCACTTGGTCAGATGACAGCAGATGAGCCAGAAGAGTTTGAGTTAGGGGAGGAAGGGAGGTTCCAGAAGAGCCACTTGCGTTTACATTGTCGTCTCTGGTACAGGTAGTCCTCTTTGTCGCGCTCTTTGCGTGCTCTTTGGTAGTGGTCATCCTCTTTCAGGTACCACACAGGTGGCCAGCGTTGTTTCTCAAAGTACTCTTGGTTCTCTGCATCAGAATAAGCTGTTTTAGGAATATGTAGGATTTTCAAGAATCCCCAAGTCCCCACAATGAGTTTTACGTTTCAGCATCACAACAATGAACTGCAGCACACAGAGGTTGGAAACAGATTTAAGTGATATATTTTTCACAATAATAATTGTGCTAGCAATACAGCAATAAATCGTATACTTTATACATTTTAAAAATTACATTTTAAAATCGAAACATAGCCTTAATACACATGATGTATAACAGCAAAACCCACAGTATTCATAAAGGAAAACATGAGTTAAGAAGAAATAGTATAGAAAATTGTATAATTACTGATTTTGCAACACTGTAGACTGGCTACGTAGTGCAAAGATAATGGCAGCTAAAAACAAAATGATACAATAGTATTTTTGGATTATTGATCAAACCAGTACAGGGTGGGCAGTTACAGTTCATTCTGAGGAGTCCTTGACTATATATTGAAATAATTATTTTGCTTCTGAAGTGCTGGAAAACTAAATATAGCTCTTCCTGAGGTAAAATGAGTCCATCTGTAATCTGCTTTTACAGATTTCATTTAAATTGGCCAACTTTCCTTAAAGCCTTTTAAACATGTTTTTATTTCATCCTTTTATGTTTCAAATGGCTACACAAGACACACAAGTCTTCATGTACTGCAGCACCCAAGTGGTTGCCATACTGTATATCAGGTTAGTGTTCAGCATGAATGAGAGGGCATTAAAGGTTGCTGGTGTGCTACCAGATACACGAGTGAGTTACCTGTAGACTTGGCCTTCATGTCTCGGGGAAACTTGCGGCAGACACTGTTGTAGTTGGTGCAGATGTGGTGAAGACACCAGCCAGTGAGCTGCTGAGCTCCGTGGAACTGTCAACATACAAAATCATTATTTGTCTTTTTTTTTTTATTGTTATTGTACATGACAAGCATTGTTGTTGTGGGGTTTTGTTGTTGCATTGGATGCAGACACCTCATTATTTGAGCTAAACCTCTACTTCTACATACATTTAGCAAGAGTTTGCTCAACATCAGCTTCAGTAATTTATTGCTCACTAAGGAGCTTCACTTATACTTATAATACTATCATTAGCATGTGAGCATTAGCATGTTAACTTAAGCATGCTGATGGCAACTGAGAAAGGACAGCTGAAGGTGACATCTCCCCTATAAGACTGGGCCCTGGGAGTACATGTTAGTGCATGTGAGTCTGTCTGTGTACAACTGAGGAGAGCAACTGAAAGTGCTGCTGTTCTCATCTACGTCTGTAAATTTAGGATTTATTTTGAACAAACCAGAGTTGGTGATTGTTAAAACAGTGGAAAGACTAACAAAGATAGCTCTTGAGTTTTATTTTGTTTCCACTTTGAATGAGGTTTCAATTTTTCTGTTATGCAAGGTAAACATTTTCTATGACGTCTGGTGGTGAGCGATGTTATGGCTGTTTCTGGTTAAACGTCTATCTTCAGGGGTATAGTAGTAAATACAGAAATGGGTAAACTGTAGTTTAGTTCCCCTCACTGACTGATACAGTTGATCTGAAAATAAATGAGTAAACTCTCTGCCTCATTTAAAAAAAGTGGATGAACTGGATTACTTGGGTACTTACTTGGTTGGCCATAGCGCCCATTGTTTTGGTCTGAGAAGCTGGTGCTCTAGTACGACATCTAGTGGTAAGTGGTGGTAAGTGGTATATATAAAAATATATAAAACCTTTAAGACCCTTTCCATTTTAGTTTATGGAGCTCAACCTCAACCAGAAGCGCTCTGAAAAACTGTTTCTTTGGCTCCACCTAGTAGTTGTTTCAGTCTCCAGAGTGGTTTTCCCTGAGAAATGCCCTCATTAATAAAAAATCCAATTTGCCAAAGCAATATATAATAGTTTTAAGTGCCGTCCCCATTTAGGGATGACTGACAGTTCACATTACCTGGGCCATATCCAAGTACACCAGCACATCTCCATCAATGTCAGCCCCCATCATCGCTGCCTCCGTCAATACTGTTACTGTGTAGAGCTCTGAAAGAAACAGAAAAGCCAGTCACTGTAAGCATGAACTTGGAATCACATACAATGGCTTTGTGTAATACAATCCAAAAATTAATAAATATGCCAAATGTAATACCTGTAAGTGCAACCAGGTGGGGGAGGCAAAGACGATTGGCAAGAACAATAAGCTCCATTGCATCCAGGTCAGGCCGAGAACAAAAGCGCCCCGTATACAGATATTCTAGCACAGCCCTCATACAGCTGCGAGTTGTGTTGGGAAACAGCACCTTAGAAACCAGAACATGTGACACAGTCATGACTTAGGGCCCCAAGGCTTTTGATGTGTTTTGAACTTAATAGACAGGTGATTGAATTTTGTATTTATATAGATTTTTTATCATTTGAAATGAATCTAAATTTCAAAGTACCTGCATAAGTATTTCTTACATGTACAATCTTTTAGTAGTACTATTTTCTGTTAAAGTAGAAATAAAAAGTAACTGAGCTCACAGAACTACAGTATGTTTGGATCACAGAAGCCACTTTAATTGTATTACAACAGACTTGCAATCCTCTAATTAAATTATACTTGTACACAGACTACATAGTTCATTGGTGCTCTATTTGGGTCAGTATGTGTATTGATCGGTGCTGCACTAGTGTGCTTCGTGTAATTAAAAAGTAATTACATTTTAAATGCTACTGCTTTATAAACGAAATGACAATTACACTGTGGGATAAATGTGACTTTAGGTTACCCTGGTCTGTACTTGAGCTCTCTTGGTCATATTTCACAGCGCAACAAACCAGTAATGTGGGTTCACTTACCTCTTTGGTGCAGCTCTCCACGAAAGGCCCTCCGAACATAGCTGCCATCCAGTCACAACTAGAGATGAGTAAAGGCTTGTGGGCCATGATCGTTCCATCATCTAGCTTGAATACTACATCTGCAATACAGAAGTGAGACACTGAGCACACCTTACTTACACCTGCATCCACTCTACTGCAAGTAGAACACAAGAATTAAGGATAAATGATTTTCACTCACCAGAAAAGGTGCCTTTGGCCAAGCACTCTTTGACTCTGTTTGTGCGCCGTACATGGAAGGCTTTGGTGATTTCTTGGTTCATGAAGGCTTCATTGTTAAGTATGTTTGCCACCATCATCCGCAAATCAAAGACCTCCAGCAGCTCAGCAATGTGTGCAATATGCATTAGCTCTTTCTCATTCTCATCTAGCTGACCTGTGTACAGGTAGCGAAGTACTGCTCGGAAAGGGCCGAGCTGCATGGACTGGTCCATGTGCACTACAGTCATGGGCCTAGGGTTGTATGTTACAGGGTCATCTATCAGCTCCTCCTGGATGCTGACGAAAGCTCGGCTCCACGAGGAGAGCATTCTACCCCGCCGGCCCCCCTCTGAGTCTTTCAAAGTGCCATCACTAGTGCAGGCCCTCAGGTTGGCCCTGTCTCCATCATCGTTGCTCTCGCAAACATCAAAGCTAGCAGCACGCATGAGCAGCTCTCGGCCAGAGAGAGGACCACGAGTTGGCCTTTCAGTCTCCTCATTTTGTGTGTCCATAATAAAGAGGTCATAGAACTTTGAAGAGGATGTCGCCAGGTATATCTTGTGTGCAAAGATTTTCTGTCGCTCCTGCAGGACCAGGATGACGTCAGCACAGTGTGGGTCCTCCAGAAGACCGACTGGATGCTCCTCTGTGGTTGTTGGGGGAGGAGGCACAGTGATTATAGGTGGGGGAGGTTTTGGTGGCAGGAAGGGCGCCTGAAGGAGAGGCCGCTGAACATTTCTGAGGTGAGATTTCCAAAACTGCAGGTGTCGGCGTGAGATGAGCGCAGCTCGGATAGCATTATCAAAGACGTCCTTGACTCCAAATTGAGCAACAACACTGGTTTCATAATATGGCACTCCCAACTCTTTGGCCACCTCCCGGCCTCTCTCCGGAGGAAGAATCTCATTTGATTTTATGGGTCTGAAAAACAACAGAATATATCAAAAGCAATTCTGGATCTAGAAAAAAGTAAATCAAAGCCAATATCAAACAATCTCTAACTTCCACAGAAAAATTCTTGCATTCAAACATAAGTCCCACTACCTAGCTAAAGGCCTCCGTGCCCTGTTCACTGCCTCCAAGTCTGCATAGCGCAGGTCCAGTTGACAACCCACCAAGATGACAGGAGCACGGGGACAGAAGTGCTTGATCTCAGGGTACCACATGGTCTTCACATGGTATAAAGAGTTGGGGTTGGCGATTGAGAAGCACAGTACCACCACATCAGACCTGAAGGGAAGACGCAGGACAAATTCTCTCAACTCAGGCAGCACCAGAACAAGTACTAGTAGACTAACATTGAATTTTACAGTATCTCACCTGCCATATGCAAAACGCCGGTCCTTATGATGGTCTCCAAAAGTATCCCAGAGGCGAAGGGACACACTGACGTCATCCACCACATCTCTGGAGCGCTCTAATACCTAATAAGAGATGACACATTCAGGAATATTTAACCATAATTATGTTGAGTAACCAGAGATTTAAATACCTTTTTTCACATTACATAACATGCAGGTCATCTTAAAACATTATGAGCTTGCATACTCACCTCCTGGCATACTCTGTACTGGTCAATTGCCCAGACCGTGGGCACATGTGTAGCGAGTAACTGGTACTGAGTCAGTGTGGCATTGCAGGCCCGGGCGCAGATAAGGCGGGTCTTTCCAACGGCATTGTCTCCTACCACCACACACTTGATAGTTTCAACGTTTGGCCTCTCATAGTCCATATCAGAATCTGTCAGCTGGGACCTGTCGAAATACAGAGCACAGAAAGCTGCATCAGCACCCGGAATCCTAAACTATTGTCCTGAACAGTACAGGAACATGGATCAATACGGGTATTAAACACAGTGACTACTCCTCATCTGCACAGCCTGTTCTGCCTGCAGAGCTATCAATGGATGGTCTTGTGACGTCCCTGTGCCCATTCACAAGTTCCCTGTCCTGATATAGAAAAAAAAATTTAAAGGGGCAAGCAAACAAAAGGGGGGGGCATTTTGGGGGGGATCCATATATTTTACAACATAGCCAGCACTGAAAATGTTATGACAATAAAAAATATGACAATTTCTTTTTGTATACTATGGGTTAATAAAGGCTCACACAATCATATCCAGGTATTTCTGTAATCCCTTCAGCCATCTGCGAGCCTAAAATACCTGTCCCTTTTCACCGTTCCTATGTTACAAGCTTAGCTTCAACCATCACAGCCCTAATTCATAACAATGAGCACCACAAATACTACCTTCATTAAATGAAATGGAGGGAATAGGTAAATACACTTCTGTCTCTTGAAAATGGTGGCTGATGAACTAGGTAGCCGGACTGGTTTCCAAGGGAACTGTAGCCTATGTCTCTGTGTGTCACAGCCCATCAAACAATTCCCAACCATCTACTACGCTGATTATTTTTTATTATTCAACAAAAAGAGCAGCATATAAAAATGACAATAATCACTGCTGTGTGTGTCTTGCTAGTGTTGTAGTCCACCTCTGTTATAACCTGCCCAGCCCACCGGACATCAAGGTCTCAAACTCCCATCTGAGTTTCACCCTGTAAAGAGTTAGGCTCCTGCACTGGGACCTTTGATCAGAAGAGCCATTCATATTTATATTCTGTGCTAATGAGTGAGGTCAGAAGCGCCTGGTGTTCCTGTCTGAATGCCAAACATCTGCTTTAAGGAAACTGTCCCCCTTTCCAAAAGCATCACTTTCCCTTTGACCTACACTACAACCACATTTCTGATGATGCTACAATCAGAAACCAGTAATGATCTCCTATAGTAAGAGTTTTATTTTTTGATAGGCTATACCATATTAGCCACTATTACGGATTACTATGCTTTTTTTGTTGCAGTCATTCATAAAATCAGCCTCATTGACTGCACAATCTGCATCCCTACAAGCTCGGTCTCACCTCCACTGAGGCATTCACACAAACACATTTGACAATGTGACCTTAGGCTGGGCCTGTATGTCACTATACAGATACACCGCCTCTAATAATGCTTATTCATATGCCCTTTCCTGTTACAGTCCACACTGCGCAACTCCCGAATTAATTAATCTTTTTTTTTTTTCTTCATATGGTCAGATATTCTAAATAAGCCACACGGCGCTTTAAGACTAACCTCCTAAATAAATCCCCATTAAATAAACTCACAGCTTCGGTTATCATCCCAAACAAAGATGATAAAATTGTGCATATCCTACCAGGAGGACAGAACAGTCCCTCCACCACCGAGACACTAGTCATGAGGCTCTGCTGCATTACACGTTATGTAACACACCGTCACTGACTCTTGAGCCTGTTTATATGGCTTCTCCGTGTTCATCGCATAACCAGCGATTTAGGAAATAAAAACCAGTTCGGTTGCCCTGCAGGAAATGTGTCATTTCCCCTCTTACCGCAACATAAGGAAGTGCTGCTGCATGGGGCTGGTCGATGAAGGAGACAAAAGGCAGGGCTCCATCGGATGCGGTTTGCACCTGACGGCAGCTCGTGTTTAACTTCATCTTCAAGGCAAAGGTGAACGAGGCTTGAAAATAGACCGGAAGACCGCAGATGTGTCAGGAAAAGGTCCTCTGGATCAGTGCGATAAGTCCGATTGCATTGCCAAAAATACGAACGCTGATCTGAAGCGTGTCGGTGCGTTGCAGAGCTGCAGCTCTGACCGTCATGGAACCACCTCCACTTACTGTAAGGCCTCCGTAGCTAATAATAGGCAGGCGCACCGACGAAAAAAAAAAAAAACCCATTCATTACAAAACACTGATCCACTTTAAAGTCGCACAAATCTCATTCCACAGCTCCTAAGCAGCCTAGATCGACTGGCCTCCAGTCCAGCACATGTGTTTTTTGTTCGTTTTTTTTTTTTTTACCTCTCCCTTAAAATAATCTGGATTGTATTTTGCACGTTTTAAAGTATGTTTATGTTGAGTGTGATTGAAAATACATTACATATACAGCCCTCATGCATTCAGGCTGTGTTAAATAAAGCATGCACAGTGTTGCACTAAAGACTTCAGCATGACTTATCTGCTCCTTTTAGCGTTAATTGATTGTGTTGTGTCCAGGGGCGGGTCTACTCGTTCACTTGGGACAGGTGGGACTCATCCAGTAGAGATTAACCTGTGCATGTGTGTATATATCCTATACACACACACACACGCGCACCCACACACACACACACACACACACACACACACACACACACACACACACACACACACACACACACATCGGTTGCATGTATGGCAGATGCATAGCAGGAATTCAATTAAAAAAGGAATCAGATGGTTGGCAAAAATAATAATATGGTTTGTTTGGATCCATTGTATCATTCAAGAGCACTGTAAAAAGAAAAAAATGCATGAGTCATCATAGCTGTGGAGCTTTATATAAATAATCTGCTGCTCTCTGGTTCTAAATTAACTCTTTTTGCTCTTTTAAACTGCATCATGATGCTGCTCTGATCTGTCACTACTGATCAAGCTGAGCTTTTTAGCTATCACTTGACTGACTGGGTTTGGATAAAAGTGTTCAACAAACAAATGTAAAATTATACAGAAACATTGATGTATAGTTATACATTGAAATATGACGAACACAGATAATGGAAATCTGTAAATAATTGATCTGCTTGCTTTTACTCCAGGAAATTTAGTGCTGCCCTTTCATAAAACTATGAGAGACTGATTTAAAAAAAAAAAAAAGGTTAATATACAAGTAGAGGCTGAGATATCTTGACTATTTAGGGGTGAATTTCCAGAAATAATCTGTCCTATTCTTCCCATGATGCAACCAATGTTGGGCGCTCCCTCTTTGGTAAAGGCCTGTAGTCTTTTGAACTACATGTCCCCACTTTGTAATGTTTAATAGAGCATTTTATCTACTGCAGTAGATCTTTTTTTATTATAGATTGAAAGCTATTACATGAAACTGACTGACAATTTGTTCATCATTAAACACTATTTCTTGAATATGGCCAGCATCTAATTTCACTGTTTTGGCTAATAGTGCTGCTTTTTACTCCATATTTAAGACCAATACAGACTGATTAAGTCCCTACGAATCACTGTTTTTATGATAAGAAACATGTTCTCCATCACTGATGGGCTTAAGGAGGGTCGACATGTTTAATAGATAAAAGTGACCTCTAGGGTGCCCTTCAAGTAGACAAAACATGGTAAAGATCCTAACCATTTCACCATAAATACATCACAACTTCCTGAACAGCAGTGGTTGACCTTTTTATTTCTTTCACCTTTGATCCTCAAATAGCCTGAGTTTGCCATTGTTTGTTCAGTAAACCTGAAAAGAACTCAGTCAATGCTACCTTACAATTGCTGAGCAGGTTGCTAAGTTACATCTACTCTGTGTGTATTAGTTTTATCATGGTTATTAGCCATGAGCCAAGATGATTATTAGTGTTAATGCTTAGCAGGATGGCCGTTATATTTTGGTATTGTGATAAATAAAACACAACTTACCTTTCACAGACACTGACAGCCATGGTGCACAGATGGTGGTTTCACTGTTAAATAGAGGCTGTTTTCACTCCTGTTCGATTCAATAGCTCTATCCTCACAGCCCCAGATGATGATTTATAGGAAAGGCCTTAAATCCACAATAAATGGAAACTCTCAAGAGTTGGTTTATCTTTTACCTTTGTCACTCTGGGTTGCTCTGAACTACGTCATTCACATTACACAGTCTAACAATACAATCCAGTGTTTACATCTTAACTTTGTTCCAGGACCGAGAGGATCAAAATACAGTTGACCTTTAGACTTCAGAAACTTTTAGAAAGTGCCAAAGTTGCACTGCAGTTATTTAAGAACTAAGGACTTGCTACGCTGTTTAACACAAGCATCATTCTGTGAAAATGATGTTATAGGTTTTCTGATTTCTGTTTTATTGAATTACTTGTCCAAGTGGGCACCACATGACAGCTTTCCAAAATGATATCAACCAGCTCACACAGTAAAATGCACTTTTGGTGTTGTTGTGAAAAGAGTGAGTGATATTGATTCACTCCTCACTTTTGTTTACCGCCTGTTTTACTGTAACTCCTGCAATGTTCAGTGGGCTCCACCAGGTGAGGCTGACAGTCTAAATTTGCTTAATACTCTCTTTAATACTGAGCCACAACATAAGCAGATTTAAAAACAGAGCAAAGGGTGGAACAACGTCCTTCAAAACAAACATAAATGGAAACTGATTGCACTGCACTGCAACACATATTACATAATAATACTGTAACATATATGTAGCAGCTGTGTGTAACAGATAAAATACTGAAATAAAAATGAGACATAAATGAAACCCTGAATTTGGTGTCAGTATGTGGACAGAGAGGAGGACATAGGACTGGATGAGAAGGTGGAGATAACCTGTGGTATTTCTCTTTTACTTGTGTTCTGCCAATTTGCACTGACTTATGTTGTCCACAGTACTGTTTATACAAAGCCGTATGCAGCTTTTACCTACTGCAGTAGCAATTTAAGATTGATTAAGTTCTCTAAACTGTAATTATATTTTTATAAATGTTATATATTTATTCCACCTGATAAGTTGTGAAATAAGAGTACAGTATTTCAAATACACAACATGTAAATGATCTACCTACCATAATATTCTTATAATTTACACGTACTAGATTAATTCATAATAAAACAAGAAGAGCAGTTTCATTCAATGGGAGATGGTCAAATGCAGATAAAATGTTAATTTCTCATTTTGGATGCTTGTGGAAGTGTTGACTTGATAACTGTGGACATCCTCTACTTAATGATTCACAAAGCTAAGCATAGGTACTGATTTGCCACACTTTACTTAGAATTGTGCAATAGCCAAAGTGAGGGATAAATGTTGTGTAAGCAACGGTAAACATTATTGACAAAAGCTTCAAAGTGAACTCTGTGCCAGAGTCCAGACAGGTCGGGGTCTCTTGAACCATTCAGATAGTCAGAGGATTGTTGCTGTCTGTGGGTTTCTGTCACATTCTCTATGGCTGCTGCTGAATCGGACTGCAAAGCTCTTTTCTCTCTGGACTCCTACCATGTCTCTGAAGAGCTTGGCTTCATCCTCCCTGATCCTCTGGTAGGTGGAAAGCCCACTGGTTAAGTTTCCTTCTTTACCTTTTTGCAGTTTTTAAATGTTAACATATACATACCACAAGCAGTCACAATGGAATATCTGATTGTCAGTAAACGTCAGTCTTGGAAAGGTACTATAAACGTGAATATAAGTGTAAAATTGCCATACTGGGTCATACGCATGCAGTCATTTAACTGAACCTAAACTTAAATCACATTAAATTAAAATGGTGCCTGTGGTTTAACAGTTATAAAATAAAGAACTAGACCAACTGGGAAGTTCAATTCTGACATTGTTCCTGTTTGCTTTGTGTAATGAACTTTATATTGAGCGGCATGTGTTTACAAAATCACATTTTGGTTAATCCTCTGCCAAGTCCAAGGTCACTGTGCATGTAGTAATATATAAAACAATGACATGCAAATTTAGGAAAGGCCTTAAAATTGAAAGATTTTTCCATCATCTTGCACCTTCACATCTGTGCACTGAGTTGTTTTATCTCCATTTGCCGTGGTCATCAATTTATGATCCAATTTGACTTTCAAAGGAAGAGCTTCCGCCTTACTACCAGCCATGGATGGATATTGCCCTGCGAGTCCCAGAGCTTGTGCATTCTCATGAACTCCGCTTCCGTATTAACAAGGTAAGTGGGGACAATAAACTGTCATGGACAATTCACTATGTTTATGGAGCCATGGTTCAGTGTTGATACTCTGATCTGTTCAGATGCCACTGCTGAGCAGCCAGTTTCTGCAAAAACACAGGGAGTTAAGGCTGGCACACCTTGCCCTCAGCGTGATGACCATGGGCTACACATGGCAGGAGGGAGAGAACAACACAGTTGAGGTATCTCTGTGTCTTTCAATTTTCATTTTTGTTATACTGACTTTTCCCTGATATCTGTAGCTCTATAGTCAGCAGTTTATATGAATGACTATTTTCAATAATTCTCCTTTAAGATGCTACCACATAACCTGGCTGTCCCATACTGGGAGGTGTCACAGCGCTTAGGACTTCCCCCAATCCTCACCCATGCAGATGCAGTGCTGGCTAACTGGAGGAAGAAGGATCCAGAGGGGTAAGCCCAGTTATCTTCTGCATGTGGTTTGGTAGCCTCCTAAACAAGTGTCAGGTATAAATGTATTCTGTTTCTTTTACATGTTCATCTTTCTGTCTCCTGTGCCAGGCCTTTTGACATGGAGTAAGTGCATCTCACATCACATCACATTGCACATCACTTGAATTCTCGTCCACTACACATAATGTACCATAATATTACGACGTACGTATCCAGGCCATCGTTTTACTTGTGTAATGCAGGAACCTGGAGCTGCTGGTCAGCCTCCCAGGTGGAGACAGTGTCCGAGGTTTCTTTATGGTCACTCTGCTGGTGGAGCTGGCAGCAGTCCCTGCACTGAGGGTGAGCATATATTGAGCTAAGTTGTTGACTGAAAACTATACCTTCAAACGTCATTTAAATTAAGGAGATTTCTGAAAAGCCATTGTAACTGGACCTGTGTTGCAGAACATTCCTACTGTGATCAATGGTGTCAGGTGTGGTGACACTGAGGCTGTGGCAAGAGCTCTAGAGGAGATCAGCCAGTCTGTACAGGACATGACAGATGCACTCAAACTGATGCATGGTAATCATTCAGATATAACTTAATAAAATTATGAATATTCCCCATCAACAAATATTTTGATTCATGTGTTTTTTCTAAAGTGTACGTGGAGCCTTCAGTCTTTTATGGCATTATGAGGATCTACCTGTCAGGGTACAGAACTCTCTCTTTGTTTTCATTTGACTTATTAGAAATGTGCAGATGAAACATGTTTTTGAAATGTGTGTGTGTTTGTGTCCATGTACACACGCATAGGTGGAAAGACAATACCTGTATGCCAAGGGGGCTGGTCTATGAAGGGGTCCAGACAGAGCCAATGGAGTATTCAGGTGGGAGTGCTGCACAAAGCAGCCTGCTGCACTGCTTCGATGAACTTCTGGGAGTAAAACATAATGCAAGTAGTGGTAAGATGGCTGATCTTTTTTCCATTGATTGATTACAACAGCGCCAGAAAGCAAGGTGAAGGACTCATTGTGATGATATTGGCCTTATAGGTGCCTTTCTAACCCGCATGAGGAACTACATGCCACCTGCTCACAAGCAGCTGATCCAGGACATCTCATTGCAACCCTCCCTAAAGAGTTTTGTCCAGCAGCAGTCCAGCGAGCGGCTAACCCAGGCCTTTCAGCACTGTGTCACAAAACTGTTGGCTTTGCGCAGCTACCACATCAACATTGTTAGCCGCTATATCACTGTACCTGCTGCCCGCGCCCGACAACTTCGTGACCACAGCCAGGACTCAGAGGAGGAGATGATCAGTAGAGCACCCACAGCATTAGAGGAGAGGGGCACCGGTGGCTCTGGGATCATGACCTTCCTTAAGACTGTGAGGGACCAAACAAAAGACGCCTTCCTGCCTGACACAAGCAACAAATGAAGTGTCATCGCTCAAGATGCACAGAAAACTGTCAACTGCATCACATAAACATGCAGTAAAGAGTACTTAACACACTATTTTATATGCCATTAAATGATGCCTTTTGGCAGAATGAGAGTGAGAGGCCTCCACGGCTTGTCTTACATGTAGCTTTGTTGTGTCCGTAAACAAACCTCAGCTTAATAGACATGAGTGATACCCATCATTCAGTCCAAACCATAATTCAAACCATTGCTGTTACTCTCTATTAAATGCAACCACTAATTCCTTTTTTAATCTGAGTTGGAACTCAAAAAATGCATCAGAAATCTGCTCCAGACCAACGTATCTAAAGGACATTTGGACATTAGACAACTGTCATTACTAAACCCTACTTTTTGGGAAAGTGATTTTGAAATTCAGTTCAAATGTAGTTTAGATATAACAAAGAGGGTTTGTCTCCTGTAATTTGAAAGTGTAGCAGCTATTTTCTTTCCAGTTTTATCATAAAGGTTCTAGGTTAAAAGTAAAAATAATAACAGAGAAGTTTTTAGCTGTCAAAAAAATATCATTTGAAAAACTTAAATACTGCAATACCTAATGAAACCATGGCAGGGCACTAAAGGGCAGCATTATAATTCACACCAAAGAAGATTTCACAGGGTTTGAAACAATGGGCAATACCTGAGTGCACCAAAGGCACACAGGCTGCTGATTTAGCCTAGTCACAAACAAAATTCACCTGATGTAATAATATATTCATCATTAATAATAGTCATTTGAAGAGGTGTGAAATCCACACTAGCTAAAATCCTCCTGACACACTTTTAAGCATTGACAGGTTGGAACCTGACCTTTTCCTCTAAAATAATCAGCCTTTGTTGCGTTTTCACCCTACAGTGCGTCCTCACAATGGGGTTGTCATGTCGAAGCACAATGCACAATACAGTGCAGAGATGCATCACTTATCAGAGTGGTTACCTCAGCACTCCTGCCGTCCTCCTCCAGCCCACATCCAGCCCTCACATGCCCCACTATACTTCCTGGACTGAGAGTGTGGAAACCCCAGAGCAATGAAGGGATGGATTGTGCCATGAATGGCTCAAGCTCTGTAATCTTCACCTTTCCTGGCTCGTCTCCACTGGTGTTTCATTACAATAGCAGCCTTGCAAAATCAGATAAGGCTGACTATGTGGCAATTAGACATGACAATTCTCCCCAGCCTGAACGATCTACTTCATCATGCCCTCTTTCTTTTCACATGATGGGTAGCAGGGAAGACAATGGAAGAGCAAATGAGAGAGAAAAACAATTACACACACAGGGTATCAAGATTTTAGTGTGAAAGACATTTGTTAAAAGCTTTTGGAGGGAAGTGGAAGGGAGGTAATTTTATTCTGATTGACATACAGCAAATACATAAAAGGTGCATAACCGAGCAGTCATTGAGTTGACTCAGACATGTTTCACACAACCTGTTTGTAAAACATGACAGGAAGACCTGAGGTGAGGAGGTGAAAGGTGAACAGTAACTACGCAAGGATGGAGAGAGTTGGGTGGCGAGGAGGACAAACAGTGTGTTCACAAGTCACAGTGATGTGATTAGAGCCTTCTTCCACAGCCAAAGCAAATAATCCCCTTCCTTATTGCCTGACTGTGGAGGACTCCCTGACAACCCGGCAGTAAACACAGGCCATCTCTAAGGATGTCTTCATTGTGTAGTTGGGGCTGGGCCTGCTAAAGTTTCACCTCATATCACAACAGTGGCTGGTTTCAGTGTAGAACATGCTAGTGAATCATTTGTGCTGTACTGACAATGCTGTGAGATGTATTGCAAAATAAAAGGCGTCGGTTTCTGTCATGATATGGAAATATTTTGGCTTAAATGTTCGTAAGATATCAAAGGTTCTGTACGTGAGAACAAACTTGTCAAGCAAAGGCTATCACTGATTTTCCTCATGCCAAAGGGCATCTGGAGTCACTCTTGTTTTCATGAAATCTACTCAAACATCCATATTCCATCTATCAGAGCCGACAGAATTACAGGCGTGGGTTCTCCTTTTGGTTAGACAATCGGATATCTTGCCTTGGTGGTTAACCACAGGATATCCTGGGTTCTGTTATTTCAAAATTGAATTTATGATGCTGCTGCTTACCTCAAGCCAAGCAAAGCCAAGACCTTTTCTCACCCTGCGAGTGAGCAGCCATGATGGCAGCAGCTCGGAATTGATTGTCTTTGGCGTGCACATGATGGGTGTAGCTGGGAATTATGGGCTGTACGGTACAGTAGGTGACTCTGGGCGTTTTACCACTTTCTACTCATCTGGACTTGACTTTCTTTGTCAAACACACCCACAGGTCAGATACGTCTTCATAAGTCACCTTCTGATCAGTTTCAACACACCCTCAGTTAAATTTGAGCCTTATATATACTAGCAATTGTCTGTCATCACTGTTCTTTCACCAGCAATTCAATATCTGTCTATAGAGGACAATAAAGTGTCTTTTTCTCATTATTATCAATATGTATATTCAAATGTTCTATAGATATCAAGATACTGTGATAATATCATCATCATGAATTCTTTGGGTCATGATAATCGTGTAGTGAAAATCTGATATTGTGACAGTCCTAATATAGAGAGACCATATATTCATGAGAAACTCTCAATTTGGCAATCTAACTAGTCATCACCATGATCCCCGACCTCACAGGATATCCATCTAGTGGTCTGAGTAAAATCATTTAAAGAAAGATGTGAGAGTTCAACTCACAGGCAAGAGTTTCTTTACCTTTAGCATTCCCAGGAACTATCCTAATGCCATAGTGACCTCCACACTCCACACTGATGAATCATCCTTCTTATAGGACCTCCACTTGGAAGGTTTCCATAGAAGCCTCACTAAACACAAGCAAATGTAGCCGACATTCACTGTGTTGTGGCTTTTCAGACTTCACTTTCCTGCCGACTAGTCACCGTTGCACAAGACATCAAGCTTATCTTTCACCTACCGCACCTTTCAAATCATTTTTTAACCCCAGCTCCCCTTTGTACATCACTTGTGCGGTCTGTAAGAGCAAGTTAAAGGCTTTTGATGTAGTCGTCTTACAGCAACTTTATCACTTCCTCCCCACTGACTTGACTGAAACGGCATGCCCACATGAAAAAAGAAAAGAAGCTGTCACAGCCAGCTTGAAAGGCTGCTTTTTCAGGTGTAGAATTACTGTTGTTGCCAGTTTTGATGATCCAGCCCAGATGACGTCACTGACAGGAAAGCACACGTCACATTGCAGCCTTTGTTCTTCCAGGGAAGAACTTGTGACACTTTGACCCCTGTGATCAAGATACATCATGCTGCGCTGTACGGCATAGCTTCCGGCTCTGCATCTGATGGATAGTTTTGTTCCATCCTTGCAGGCCTGTGAGTTACAGTGTTTAGCTGGATAAATGTAGTTTGTCCATGTGTTTGTTGAAATGGCTCTGTTACACGCATACAAACATGCTAGTGTCTTGGTACAGGGGTGTAAATTAATTAATACAATTAATTAACTAAATAAAGTTTTATCCTTCTGAGAATATAATTTGTTGTTTGTGCTTCTTCTTCTTCTTTTTCTTGAAAAACTGCCCTGCAATACACTCAAAGTGTAGTCACCTCCATCTTATTGACCTGTCCCCATTTCACTCATGTTTTGGGGAAAGATTTGGCTTTCTTTTAAATAAATTCGCTTATACAATAGAACTTTTAAATCTCCTGTCTTTTTGTAATATATACTGTGAAATATGCTTTGACAAGGTTAATGAAACAAAGAAATGTGGCCACCACAAACTGTAACACCAGTGATCTGCTTCATGCTTTCATTGTATTTTTGCTTTGTAGTGGCTGTTGACCAGACAGTGAATTCAAGGGCAATATATATTTTAACACATTATCAAAAACTGTGAAAGACTCCAGATTTTATACACTGCCAGTCTTATCTTTCTTAAGCTCAGACTGTGGCTTGCAGAAAGTAATGAACAGATAAGTTAAAAAGAAGTTAGTAGGGATGTTAAAAGTATTCATGAGTATGACTCTGACTCATAATTATTTAAGAATGTAGATTATTAGTCAACTTGAAAGAAATTTTGGAAGTACAAACTTCTGGTAATTTTCTGATTTCCTGAGTGCTGTGGGTCTCTCTGTTTCCCAGATATCGTCACGAACACAACACCATAAACTCCTCTGCTTGCTCCACTATAAATTCCCCCTCAATCAGCTGTGAGCAGTTTAAAGACTAACAAAACTGACAACATTAGGTCAAATATTTTGCACCCTATGAAAGATATCTCACTGGCTATTGAGGACCCTCCTACTTTTAATAATTTCCGCCCAGTCTCTTCACCCCTGACTGGACGCAAAAGGATAGGCATGCAGCCCACTAACTATCAGCTTGATATAATTCCAACAAAGCTCCTAAAGCAATCATTTAGAGCAGTTGGTCCAAGCTGACGATTTTTAACAATTCTCTAGCCACAGGTACAGTCCCCTCTTGTGTTAAGCATGAGATAGTTCAGCAGCTACTTAAGAAGCCTCTGTGCTGTGGTGTTCCAGAGACAGCTCTCCTAGAATGATAATTGACCTCTTCTGTGCTGCGGATGCCAGTAAATCTTATCCCTCTTAATTGTTCTAGATCTCAGGGCAGCATTTGACACAGTCAACCACACAATTCTCATTGAGCTCTTGACACACTGTGCATTTCTGGGTCCACCCTTGAAAGATTCCATTCTTACATCTCAAACAGACGTTTTATTGTTTGCATTGGCAGCTCATCCTCCACACCTTAGTACCTCATGTGGGGTACCGCAGGGTTCAGTTTTAGGCCCACTTCTTTTCACTGCTACGCAAATGATACTCTAGCTCTACCTCACCATCAATTCCCAAAATTGGTCCGATGTAACTCGAATACAAAACTGTCTCCAAGATATTAAAAGACTGGTTGGTTCATAATTTCTGTTAGTTAAACAAACCACTATTTTGGCCCACATACCCCCCCTTTAAATTTTTAAAAGTAACAAATCAAATTTAAAGTCTTACGATAAGTCTGTGACCAATGAAATTTGAGGTGGGCGTCGGTTTGACCTTTTGTCTGTGGCGGGAACAGTCCTTTTTGGAACCATCGCCGGCTTGGACACACTGCTAGCAGAAGGTAAGATAAATTTCACTTTTTAACATGTTTAAATTTGAATAACTTTGTATAAATAATATCTGTGATGTACATGAATATGTGAAGAAGCATATTTGATTGAGTAAAGACACTTTTTGTCTTTATTTATATAATAAAATGGTAGTTTTTCATTCGTTGCCTCAGGGCAACATTGCGCAGTTAGACCACTTTTGTTTGAACAATAACATGCTCATGGATGAAGAACAACAAAGATGGGTGTAAGGAAGATGATCGAGCAGTTAGGCTTATTCCTTCTGACAGTGAGGACAGTGTGCTTGAGGAGAGTGACAGTGAGGAAGAGTGGACCCAAGAATCAGGTTTGAGGGAGGATAAAGAGATCATTTTATGATTGATATGTTTTCAGGGACCCCCTAGCTCCCAAAAACTAGGGTGAAATATGTATTTCCTCCTCAAATAAAAATTCATGCCATAGAGGCATTTTACATATAATTCTATTTTATCCTTGCTTTATTTCCACAACATCTGTACATATGCCTTTATGCTTGTTTATGTACAGTATATGTCTGTCTTTGTGAAACACTTTGGCGCACAACCTGTTTGCTATATAAATGAAATAAACTTAAAGTAATTGAACTGTAGTAAAAACAAGAAAAGCTTTAACTTGAGTGTTGTTAGTGCAACACTTTTCAGGAAGACTCACAGTGACCAAAATGCCCTTACAGTTCAGTTTGACTTGCTGAATAGTTTCCTCAGAGACCTCAACCACACATTTTAAATCAGATTTTGATGGCAGCTAGAAGAATACATGACATTCACATGGCTTTCCTCACAGGATTAGCAGAAGCCCACACACGTCACAGCCTTTTGTCTTAAAGGTTAACACAACTTTGAGCAGTGTGACAGGGAATACAGCTCAACCTCTCACCACTGCTGACTCACTACTGGCCCGGCCAGGTGCGAAACAGACAATTGTGCGATACCACACACACTCTCCCACACGTGCATGCACACAGACACACACACATGCAAATGCACTTAAATGCACAGACACACGCCATGCCCAAATGAGCACACATGCATGCACATGTAGACAGAGCACCTAATTCCCTTTGACCTGCAGACAGAGATACCTTGTGTGTGTATGTGTGTGTGTGTTTACTCCCACTTTCCCCACTTGGCTTTCCTCTCATGCCACATAGCTATTGTCCTCCTCCCTCTCGCTCTGCTGATTGACTTCCTCTTCCTCTGAGCTGTCGCTATAATGTCACCTTCTCTGCTGGCGCCCACACACTCATGTTATCAACAGCTTCTCATCCGGGTTACAAAAATACAGGAAGTTCCCCGGGGGTCTCCTGGAAAAGAAATGTCCATCTTTCCCTGTCACACCCTCGCATGTATTCCATGCTACATACAGAGATAAGTGGGCTGTGAATGAGCGCAGGGGTTGATTACTCAGTAGGTGTTCGAAGATAATACCAGTAACCTCAGGAACTGGAGATAATATCTGCACTGGGATGGTGACACCTCCTTATTCAACACCAGACAGACTCAAACTTTCAACTTCAAACCACAGGTTGAGTGACGAGTGAAATCTGAAACAGAAGTGAAATAGGGTTAAACAGACAAAAAAAATGACACACACTGGCAGATCAGATTTCACTGATTAATAAAGGCTTTCAAGCAGTCAGAAGATAAGTGCTGTAATTCA